TTACTTTGGATTAGGAAGCCACAATGCCAAGCTGGCTGGTTTGCTCAGTTAGTTAGAGCACCCTGTTGATAACCCCAAGGTGAAGGGTTTGGATCCCTGTACCAGCCAGCTGCCAAACAAACAAAAAGATAGGAAGCTACATGCTGGACGTCTGTCTGTCCTGAGGATAGGGAGATAAGACCAAGTGAGGATGTCATAGCAGCTCGGAGAACCACTGCCAGGCAAGTCGACTGAGGGGAAATGGGTAAGGAGGCAGCAACTCTGCTGATTCCACAGAACTGAAGGAAAGAGTCCTATGATCATTTCCTTTAGCTATAACCTCTGGGCTGACCCAAGTGGTCCATGACAGTCTTCCCATCCTATAGAATAAAATCTGTCTCCTCACCCCCATCCCAATCAAGAAAAGTCAAGTGACCTCACTGCCATAAGACAAATTCTTAATGAGTTCACTTTTAGAAGATTGAACAGGAAATCACTCTGGAAACTAATGGCTAAATACTTAAAACGTAAAATGAATTAGCTGCATTGGAAATTTTATTAGTTATTTATTGCTGTGTAACAAGTTACCCCAAAACTTACTGGATAAAACAATAGTCCCAATAATTCAGGTCTATACTGAGGGAGAGAGAGGAGAATTCTACACTTTGATGTTGGACACTGAGGATCTTCCTGTGATTTTTTTTTTTTTTTTTTTCCCAAGGCCTCAGCAAAGTATGGTGAGATGCAGTCTTGAGAAGCCCCATCTGGATCCAAGTGTTCCTCACATTTTGTTGTTAAGTGTATTAGATTCCTAAGCCTTCCTTAACAAATTACCACTAACTGGGTGGCTTAAAACAACAGGAAATTATTCTCTCAGAGTTCTGGAGGCCAGAGGTCTAAAATCAGGGTGTCAGCAGGGCTGTGCCCCCTCTAAATGCTCTAGGGAAGAACCTTTCTTGCCTCTTCCATCATCTGGTGGTTGCTGGCAGTTCTTGGAGTTCCCTGACTTGTGGTTACATCACTTCAGTTTCTGCCTCTGTCTTCACATTGTCTTTTTCCCTCTGTGTGTATCTCTGTGTCCCCGTGTCTTCACATAGCCTTCTTATAAGAATGCCAGCCAGTGGATTTAGGACCCACCTTAATCCAGTACAACTTCATCTTAATTTAACTAATTGTATCTGTAAAGACCCTATTTCCAAATAAAATCACATTCTGAGGTTCTGGGAAGACATCTGTACTATACAACCAATATTGTCCAGAACCATCTTTGTCCAATTGAGGAATCACGATAAGGTAACTACCAAGATTACAATGATTCTATCTAGCAAATATTAGTCATTCTTTTTGACCCCCCTCCCCCATAATTCCATTTCCAGTAACCAATCTAAGAATTATATATATATAAAGAAACTTTAGGCATAGAGCTGTTCAAAGCAGTACTGCTTATAATAGCAAATTTAAAACCAATCTGTATTTCCAATAGTAGGAGGTTGGTTAAGTAGAGACAATACATCTATATAATGCACTACAAAGTAGGCAATTGTAGTGGATTGAATTCTGTCCCCTCAAAACTCACTGAAGCTTGAATTGTGTTCCCTGAGTTTTATGTATTAGAAATTTAGCCCCCACTGTGACTGTTAAGAGAAATCCTATTATGGAAATTGAAAGGTGGAGCCTTGAAGAGGTGATTGGATTGTAGGACCATGCAGTAGTGAATTGATTAAAAATGGTGGTCAGGGGCGTGGTTCTGAGGGCTTTAAAAGAGGAGGAGAGTCTGTCTCTTTCTGCAATCTCTGCTCTTTCTGCTTCCACAATATTGCAATGTGAGACCCCTGGGTCACTGCTGCCACCACCAAGACCCTCACCAGATGTGTTCCTTGGACTTTGGACTTCCTAGCCTACAAAACTGTAAGCAATAAATTTTGTTTTTCTTCAGAAATCACCCAGTTCTATTTTGTTATGAGCAACAGAAACGAACTGATACACCAATAAAATTATACATGATGTTTGTAATGTGGAAAATTTACATATTTATTTAACAAGTGAAAAATATACTCTATTGTATATAAATATTATTATAAGTATGCTTTAAGAAGAGGAGAAAATAAATCTCATAACTATACATAAAAGAAAAAAACTGGAAGGTAATTCATCAAAATATTAGCACTGCTTGTATTTGAATAGTTAAATGATCTTTTTAAAAAATGTTTTATGTTATTCAACTTACATATTATGTATAAGAAACAACCCCAAAACTTAGTTTAATATGACAATAATCAATTATTTTGCTTATTCATTTACAATTTGGGTAAGGCTCTGTAGGGATTGGTTCATCTCTGCTTCATGCAACAGACAATGTGACTCAACTGGGACTGGAGGATCTGGTTTCCAACATGGCTCAAGAACATGCTGGTTCTGGCTGTCAGCTGGGGGGACCTCAGAAGCATGTACCAGATCAGCAGGAGGTAAAGCAAGAACGACAGGGAGAGGTAGAATCCTGGATGTTCTTTAGTGCCAAACAAATGAATTAGAACTACTGACAAAGGATAAATTTTCATTTTAAAAGGCTAACTGGTGGCAGAAATGATTCTATCTAGCAAATATTAGTCATTCTTTTTGACCCCCCTCCCCCATAATTCCATTTTCAGTAACCAATCTAAGAATTATGAAAGATGGGGGAGATGAGGACCAAATGAAAAACAGGAAGACTAGCTGGGAGGGAGTCTCCTAAGTGGTCCTGGTGAAGGCTAGATAGAAGAGGGTCTAAATTCTAGCAGGGGTGGTAGCAAAGAGAGGAAGGGAAGATGAGAGCTTCAGAAGATAGCATGGGCAGAAACCGACAAATGATTAAATGGGGTGGGAGTGGGGGGTGAGGCAGGTGTTATGACGATGACTTCCAGGTCCCTTCTTTGAGCAACTAGAAATGAAGCTGACCAAGATGGGGAACACAAGGTTGTACTGGAGAAGACAATGAGGCCTGAGGGACACGCAGAGGGCAAGGGCCTGTGAGACAACTGACTGGTGATGTCCACCTGGTGATAGGACTATAGGTCAAATGAATGCCCACTATTTGTCCAGTCCTGCTTCTAAGGTCCTCCTCTCACCAAATTAGAAATTGGAATCCTTATGTGTATTTTGCCCATCTCCTGTGGAAAAAATAATCCTTTGTATAATTCTCTAGAGTGAGACAGATCATCTCAAACATGAAAAGGCCCACTTATGTTGTGGGTGACAGTGAGAAACTCATCTTCGTGCAAAATTTGCATTTCTCTCCCTTACATCATAGCAGACTCCACCAAGACCACTACGATCAAGTTTTTATTCCTCCCCTCAACCCTCCACTGCAACTTTTGGCTGCACAAGACGAATACTTCCATATGGCGCAATGTTTATGTTAAAATGGGGGAAAATCTGAGATGCTTTCATTAAGTTTTACCCAAGAAGCAATAAATTTATAAATCCTATGCAGCTGGAACAAAATATTAGTCTGTAATTGATTTTGGATGAAGTGTATTTCAACAGGAATAGAAAACTTGGGGCAGTTTGTTAATTACTGTTTAGAGATCTTGGGTATCTTCATATGGCCCTCACTGGCTGTGACCTCAGACAGATTATTTGACATCTTGAACCTCTTTGGCCTCATCTGTTAAACGGGTTTAGCAATTTTACCTACTCATGGCGTTTCTTTGGGGATTAAATCAGCTAATACAAATAAAGAGCTTAGAACAGTACTTGCCACCAAGTACTTGTCAGCAAATGCTAGTTCTTTCTCTTATTGCCTATTATCTACAGGCTAAGTTTCAGAGTAAGGGGAATGAGATAAAGATTAAGAAGGGAGGGGAAAAGGACAGAGAATAGTGTACAAGAATACAGTTATTTAGGCTTTATTTATAGAAGAATGCCCACTGCCACTGCAGAATCTATAGGCAAGAGCGCTGTGTGAATACAAGTAGTTGTTAAAAAAGATTTTGGGGGAAGCAGGAGGGGTAAGTGAAGCCTGGAGAACCAGGAGCTTTCTGACATACTTTCTGGATCATCATTTACTTTTACAATTACCTAATTCACTACAACAAATGAGTGCAGGAGGGCAAAGAGCAAGTACCTAAAAAACCTGAATTGTCTAGTGGGGATTATTTCGCATACAAAAACTACCCCATGTCTATGTGAAACCAATCCACAGAATTTTATTTTATTGACTTATTACCTTGGAAAAACTGCCAACATTCGTTTTAGTTTTCTAGTCACAAAAGCGTACAGATCTTTTGGAATAATTTTTAATGTATTCTACTTATACAGCCCTTATATTTACAAAGCATTTCTATACCTTCCTAATTTAATACTGGTAAAAATCAGACAGTAAATATTAGGAGCCCTATTTTAAAAGAGCAAATATTTAGTGCGTATTTACTGTGTGCCAGATACTATACTAAATGCTCTACAAGGACTGTCTCATTTAATCCTCTGACAGACTGACAAGGTAGGTACTATCCTCATCTGAGGCTAGAGGAGAGAAGTTTAATGACTCTCTCAAGGTGACTCAGAAGTAAAGCGCAGAGCCAGGACTTAAACCCACATCGGTCTGACTTCAAAGCCCACTTTCCTAACTCGTAACCACTGTATTCTGCTGTTAAGGATAATCAGATACATGTTCTTTCCATGTATGACAATGCTTTTGGTTTGAACTCAACTTAATTATTTACAGTCATATAAACAACTGTTGTGAAATTATACAGAAATATTAAACTTTTTGATCTCTATATTATGTTCCTAGAGTTGCTTAAGACAGATGTACATCTCAATGTACATTTTCCCCTCTAAGGTTATGAGAATATGTACAAGATCCATGATTGTTGAATAAATTTTCCAAATACCTAAGGAACTTGGTAATAGGCAAAGAATCTGCTTCTTGTTTACTTGTAACACAGTTTAATAGCTGTAGGTAAGAAACTGTAAGCACAATTTTAGTGACGGGTAGGCTACCAATCTTTTGAATGGTTCAATAATGCAAAGGACAAAACCTGTTCATAAAAATGTACTTTTTATTTCATAAACCTTAAAAGCAAACAACAAAAAAACTTGTCCCATATCCCTCCCCATCATGCAAACAGCTCTCAAATGAGATTCCTCAAATTTTACGTTTTTTCCATTCTGGCTCATTCTTTGCTTCCTCATCATCAGATTCGACTTGAGCAAACATTGTTTTGGGCTGAGTCCTAAAGGAAAAGTTAAAGAAGAGGAGAAGTATTTAGTCAGTAAGCGTTTATTATATTATACTTGGCTTCTTTCATTAAGTGGGAGCAAAAGTGGGGAATTGATTACATCTCAATTATTAAGTATAAATCGTTAGAATTCTGGCAAAGAAAAGGATAATGAAAATTTAATTATGTTCAGGAAAAGAGCCAATGATTCTTTTAATGGTTTTCCCTCTGTGGCAGACTGTGTAGGCTGTCCTTTCCTTAAATAAAACAAATACACATCAAATTCAGTGGAACCTCACACATCACAAGCACCCACCATCTCAAACTCAGGATAACTGGGACTGTCTGGAAGGACAAATTATGGTCGCCCAACAAGAATCTACATGATCTTTACAGCTTTCTGGGTTGTTTCTAGTCTTAAGTAGTCCAAATACATGTGATTATGGTGCATACAAATAAGAGAATTTGAGTTTAACAGTTTTCTTATCTAATGAGTTTAAAATAGTAGCTAACATAAATACAAGGGTACTTCAAAAAGTTCATGGAACCTTGAGAGAATAATATTGAGTGAAACGAGTCAGGCAGAGAAAAAGAAATACCACATGTTCTCACTTATTGGTGGGAGCTAAAAAAATAAACAAATTAATTTACCCACAAACACACACAAAAAAAACCCGGGACTGGCAACGGGATCGCAACCCTCGGCGTTGCGCCCGCACCTCGCTCAGCCAGTGAGCGGCCGGGACTGGCAACGGGATCGCAACCCTCGGCGTTGCGCCCGCACCTCGCTCAGCCAGTGAGCGGCCGGGACTGGCAACGGGATCGCAACCCTCGGCGTTGCGCCCGCACCTCGCTCAGCCAGTGAGCGGCCGGGACTGGCAACGGGATCGCAACCCTCGGCGTTGCGCCCGCACCTCGCTCAGCCAGTGAGCGGCCGGGACTGGCAACGGGATCGCAACCCTCGGCGTTGCGCCCGCACCTCGCTCAGCCAGTGAGCGGCCGGGACTGGCAACGGGATCGCAACCCTCGGCGTTGCGCCCGCACCTCGCTCAGCCAGTGAGCGGGAACCGGTCTGTATGTGGGATCCGAACCCTCGGCGGGAGCGCCGCCGCACTCCCAAGCGGCGCACTGTAGCAGTGTGCCACCGGGCTGACCCCTCATGAACTTTTGAAGTATCCTTGTATAGCAGAAAGAAACAGAAAAAAAAAAAAAAAATGAACATCCCCTGCACCCCTACACCCAAGCCAAATGCCCCACCTTTTAGGATACACCACTGTACATGGCTGTTATACTGCCATATAGCATCATTGCTGAAATACTGCCATGCAGTAAGTACATCAAGCAAACTTTGCACGAGGGCCTTCTGTGCTTTGTAAACATACCTGGTTGAATGGCATTCCTTTTTTCACCATTCACACAGAAAATAATCCCAAGAAAATGTCAAATGGTTATAATGTATGCCCCTTTTTGTCAGCTACTCCTGACCTATTTTAAAACTACCTTACCACATTACAAAGAGATATTAAAGCATTAAATCTGAAGTTATATATTTTGGCTTACATCTTCATTTAGAGTTCAATTCACTATATCAAGGTAATTCCAGAATGGTAAAAATAATGACAACAATAATTCCTTTTATTTGGAAAGTGAAAGCAGGGTTAAAAATTAAAACTTTCTATTACCTCTTGCTGTTTCTTTATTATCCTGGGGAAGAAGTATAAACCATCCGCAATTCACGTTAATGTTGTCTGATGTGAGTCATGTACTAGAATTCCTCATGCGTAAGTCAGTCACAATCTCTGTCTCTCCAGTTACCTCACACACCTACCTAGAGCCCAAGCTGTCCCTATACACAAACCAGTTGATTAAACTACTTGTTGTCACTTCAAGACACTGTATGACATCTACACACAGGTCAGAGAGCTAACATTTCAAAAAGCAGCTGCAGATTTTCATAGGCCACGAGTTGCCGGATTACTAGAAAGCAGGACCACTGGCTTTCTAACGTGCTACAACAAGGCAATTGGTGCCTGTTACATATTTCATCTTCTGGCAGAGATGTTGACCACTTAGGTAAAGGCGAATCCATAGAGGAACAAATCTGTCTGGTTTTAAAAAATCCTTTATTTCTAAGGGGAAAAAAAAGAACATGGTCTTCCAAAGATATCTGGCAATGCTTCATAAAACACCAGCTCATCAACGTTACTTGTAATGAGACTAGTACTAAGAAGTCACAATGCTGCTTTTCTGGATATAAAAAAAAGAAATTGAATGGCAGATCACAGCAAGAAAACCTATACTTGAAAAGACTACTGAATTTAAGGGGTTACTTTTTTATATTCCACCTAATTCCAAAAGTATTTGTAGCAGGTTGGTGGCTAACATGAAAGGGCACAGAATCAACGAAACTATTCAACAACAAGTAGAAAGGGAATATTGACTACAAAGAAGCAAAAAGGAACGTTTCAGAGGGATGGAAATGTTCTATCATCTTGATGGAAGTGGTGATTACACAGGTGTATGCATTTGTCCAAACTTGAAATGAGTGCATTTTATTGAATATAAGTTGTACCTCAATAAAGTTGATTTGTAAAGAAAATCAAAACAAATGAGTAGAAGATCAAGAACAAAAGAATAAAAGAGTGTGTAACTGAGTATAAAACTTAGCACTGAATTTCCTAGCAGCCAAGACAAAAGAAAAAGAAAAATATTCGTTTTTCAAAGGAGATATCTTTCCCCCCTAGCACTGAACTCAGTGAATTCATTAACTAAATGTTTACATCAATGTCACTTAGATTGTCACTTCCAATCACTAGACCACAACAGTTTCCTTTGTCCTCACAAGGAATTGAAATTTAGGGGTTATCCAGCTGTTTGGAAGGTGGGACACCTAAAACATTATGGTCCTTTTTGTAAAACTCCATGACATTTATTTTAATTTCCACTTTTGAACTAATCACAATGTTGCCAGCAAAATGACCAAATACGTGTATGCAATATCAAGTCACGACACCTGATCTCTTGTTCTCTCGTTCTGTTGGCTAGGTGGGGAACACTCGAGTGTAAGAACTAGCCCTCTATCAACACTGAAAAATTACTAAGATGGTAAGTTTTATCTTAGATGTATTTTCCCAGAATTAAAAAAACAGAACTAGGCTCTTGGACTTGGGAGTAAGGAAGAAAAAAACCCTCTTCCTGGGACAAACATAAGGCACCTTAGAGAGGCTCTTAGCCTCCACCCTGGGGCTAGGGCAGTATTTCTCATACCACCTGTAGTGTAGAACCAGTCTTTGTTCTCTAATTTTCAATCCCTTGTAGACAAATATTATATCTCTGGAAAATTAAAATTGAAAGACTATAATATTTTGTCCATTGAAAGACTATAACAAATCCAAAATTTTATTAGATTGAACAGCTATATCGAATTGCTGTAACATTTCCTAAGTGTTACTCTCAATTCCTGCATCTACTTCATCCGCACTGGTTGGTGGACCTGTAGAGAGCTCCATCCTCCCCTAACTTGAGAAAGAAAGGAGATAAGGTGGGCTCTGAGACAAGGCTGTGCAGTAAGAAATTATCTTCTCAACATAAACTTTTACACATGATGAGCTTCCTCCAACTGTGGGAAAATATATTTATATATCTGGAGAAGTTGGCCCCATATGATGCTACTGAAGACTTGCTGAAGAAATAAAGTTTGGGGTTGCACCCTCAGGCCCATCCTGTAAGGAGACCTTTAATTCTTGGGAGTTAGGCCCGAGGAGGGGAAGGGAAGTGTGGCCCACAGAAGGAAGTATCTGTCATTCCAATTCATCCTGCCCTCAAAACCAACATTCTTACAGCATAGTTCAGATCCTTTAATAAGAGCTGTATGTTGTTTGTTGAATAAAGAACAAATTCTTCAAAAAAGATTATTCAACTTTAGCACATTGAACATCTCTGTCTAGCCTAGAGAATGCCAGTGTTTTGTATGAGCACAGTGAGAGAATCATAGCTTTAAACCCTTGCAGCTATTCTTTCTTTCCAGCAATTTTTATCTTTGAATTTGTTTCCGGCAGTTATTCTTTTGCAAAAAGTTTGGAAATCCACATATGAGAAAAATTTTTTAAATTCAATATAGGACTATCTAGGACATTTTAAATGGATTTCTTTAGTCACCACTTTATCATGACAATGAGGAACAGAGATTATTAGGCAATCTCCAGCAAAGTTAGAAACAGAACCAGGAGATTTCTTCCCTGGGGGATGGCCTAATTTGCCCTTGGCATAGAAAACTACTATAAAAATAAATCAATAATGTCAAGCAAAAGTAAAATGACACATGCAAAAAGATAAAATGTTAATGGATCTGAAAACCCTTAAAAGCTGATCTAGGGGCCGGCCCGGTGGCGCACTGAATGGTGCGCCACTTGGGAAGCGCGGCGGTGCTCCCGTCCGAGGGTTCGGATCCCACATACAGACCGGCTCCCGCTCACTGGCTGAGCGAGGCGCGGGAGCAACACCGAGGCTTGCGATCCCGTTGCCGGTCCCCGGTCCGGTACGGGGGCAACACTGAGGGTTGCGATCCGTTGCCGGACACGGAAAAAAGACAAAAGACAAAAAAAAAAAAAAAACTGATTTAAAAATTCCTGTTTTTAAACCCAAAAGAAAAAAAAAAAAAAAAAAAAAAAAAAAAAAAAAAAAAAAAAAGCTGATCTAGAAATTCCTGCTTTTAAAGCCAACAGGAAACAAATAACAACAACTAACAAACCCTCTAAGTCTCTATTAACATTGTTACTGGCCACAAAATGGATTACTTTCTGAGCTGCTTGAAGAAATGGAATTTGTGCACTAGTCTTAACACAGACCCTGTTGGTTGCTTCCACAAGGAAGAGTAGAAGAAATCAAACCAAAAGGACACTAAAGACATGACAGTAACTCAGGAAATACACAAGCAAATAAATAAACAAACAGTGTGCAAGAAATGTATTTTCCAAATTTGAGAAAGCATTTCCATTACCTACCCTTCCCTTGTC